GTCATGGCCAGGACCAAGATAGCGCTCTCCTTTGACACAACAGATGAGGTAAGTTCACACCCACTACTTCTATCCAACCAGCCTTGCGTTCCGGGATCTCCCAACCGACATTATTAGGGTCGTGCAGAGTATGCAGTTTTTCAAGTTTAGGTAATCGTGCTTCGTATGTCAGGCTTCTGTCGATAGGTTTTGATTTTGATGTAGCAGGAGTCGTCCCAATACCGTCCGGTGCAATGTTCGAAAGCACCAGAGGGGGTCACAACCAAGGCGAAAAGGCAAACGGAAGAAGTTGTGTTTGTGTATATGTTGTCTGCAATCCTCTCCTGCAGTCGTGGTTCCCTGTATAGTGCCGAGGGATTAGGCCGGCCTTATGTCGGGCACCCGCCCGGCACTCTTCAGGGAATTGGATGTTATATCTGCTGCGTTGAGCGATTTCACCGGCCTGATATCGTACATGGACTGCTCTGCTGTCCGACGTGCGTTGACATCGACATGAATAACAACAACAACGACGTCACCAACGACAGCAACAACAGAAAGCCAAAGCGACAAGTACGCACCAACGTAGTTGCTTCCGTTTTGCGCACGCCGACAATAAACAGCTCAAGCACATCAAGACCGGCGCGCTGGTCCTTTATGGCGAAGACGACACCTTCACGGCAACCGGGGCTCAGCAGCTGCTGGACGGCATCGAGGGTTCGAGGGCCCTGGTGAGAGGACCGCATGTCTACCGTGGGTGACGTAAGATAGCACACCCCCTGAATCGATTTCCGAAGCTCGATGTCTCGACCGGAATGGCAGCGACGGTGCCGGAAATGGCGGCGTTGGAACCGTGTCGTCGAGAGCTTTCCGAAAACGTATACAGTACTGGGCCCTCTATAGTGCAGGGGTGTGTCCAGAAATTTTTCCTGCACTACAGCGGGCACCTGCACTAATCAGAATAGTGCAGGTTCGGCACTGTTGAGGCTTTGAGTAGACTATACCTCAATAGTGCAGGTCCGGTACTACTGAGGAGATGTTTGATTTTATGGTGTGTAGCGCTCATGCTTTGCGGGGCTAACAGAGTACGAAATGGATCGAATTACAGTAGTGCTGGGCCTGTTCTGTTATAGCGTGGGCGTGGGCAGAATGTCCCGCGAAGCGTGTGGTTCCCCCTTGCCGCACACACAGAGATGTTGTAGAAGAATTACTTGCAACCTGCGCCGTGAATTTCTTCCTGCCTCAACAATCGCTCTGTACTGCACACCGTGAACCGTCGCACGAACCAATCCTTCAACATTAATACTCAAGTCCTCACTGCCCCTCGTTCGATGTTGCAAGATAAACAAATATGTAACACGCCAGGAAGCGCACTACTACAGGGAAACAAACAACCACTACTGCTATCGCTGTGTACCCCACGCCCTCACGACGTCGCGAAAAATGATATCATGTCTGCCTGGCGCATCCATCAACTTGAGAATCTCAACCTTCGTGTTGTTGTCCGGCCGTGCACAAGCACCAGAACCCTTCTTACTCCCCCCCTTCGTTTTCTTCGGGCGTTTAGATGGTCCCGCCCCAGCTGGTGTCGCTTTGCTCTTGCCAGCCTTGGCGACGCCCTTGCTGCAGATGCTGTGCTTTCCGTTGTCCTCAAACGTGCTGCCTCAATTGCCGTGGAGTCGCCCGCCACACCCTCCCTTGCAGACGTGGTCGTGAGGGGCTTGCGGCGTTCTGTCTTGTTGATGGCTCAGGTCACCGTCCGCACAAGGCATGGTGCGCCTCGGCGTAGCGCTCTTCGGGCCTGCAGCAGCACATGTCCCCTGGTTTCTGTGTTGGGTCTCTCCGCTGTCTTGTCCGTGTGTGTTTTTGTTGTTAGCATCGACCGCGCTAACCGGCTGACTAATGAAAAGACCGTCAGTCCTAGCGCGATTGAAAGCATGAAACACTTCTAAATGAGGGGGCGGCTTGGGGGAGAGCAAGTTACTCTCCGGGTCAAAGACAGAAACGGTAGCAACAGAAGACAACTGCACGGGTCGATGAAGGCTGCTACCTCTCACTCTAGTTCGTTTTGGAGTGCTTTCACCGCCATCCTCCTTCCTTCCAACTCCGTCGTTCTCTCTTATCGTTTGTGTGTGTGTCCAACCTGCACTACTGCGGGCACCGCGGTGCCCAACCTGCACTATAGCGGTACCGCCCTCAATGGTGCAGGACCTGCACTATTTAGGGCGCTGTCTGTGTCCAGAGATTTTACCTGCACTATACCGGGCACCTGCAATATTCAACCTGCACTATAGAGGGCCCAGTACTGTACATTGATGTTTTCATCCTCTTCGTCGTGGAGTGACCCAGCTTTGACAATCGGTCCAGGAGGTGGGATAACGCATGAAACCTACGATACCGAGGGTGACGTGACGAAAGGTGCCCACACACCCCAGACCTATATTCAAAGGTTCATTATCACTCCACGGCCAAGATGTTGGCCTTAAAATGCTTTGATGCATTTTTGGCAAGCGCTTGACGAGACGGTTCCAATCCCGTCATTTTCCAGTTTTTATACAACGTCTTCACTTCATGTCAGCGCTCACAACACTTGTGCCGTATACTCCAACCCGTGGTTACACAGAAGGGTTCATTTTCCAGGACCACCACTTTTTCTGCTGTGGAGTACTGTAGTCGAGCTCTGAAAATGAAAGAGAGGTGATGGGGGTGTGATGCCTCAAAATGTCGTACAATGTCGCATAGTCTACAGGGTCATTGACAAAGGGGTGATGCAAGACAAATATGGGAGCAGGCAGCAGGACCAGCTCAATCCCGATTTTGCCAGAATTGCCCTCAAACTGTTCGGGGTTTTGGCAAAAACCATGATGGCAGCAGCAGCTCCTTATGCAACGGCCAGGCGATTCTGGTATAGTGGACCCTATTATTTGCAATACTGTCATAGGTGTGGTGGCGGAACGAATCTCGCCGCGATGGGGGAACATCCCTAAATAGTATTTGGTAGCAGGGTAGGTTATTATGCCGAGGAATTATCAGCGATATAACGGGAACCGCGCTGTTCCGGACCGCGAAACATTTCGGGAACGCTAGTGCAGCCGCCCTTTTGTATCAACTGGCGACAACCGTAGCTGTGTTGTGAATTGACGTTCGTTTCCTCTCTCGCGAAGATCAGTTGGTGACTCGCGACACGATCGGTCGGCGAATCAATCGGTCTGCAGTTGTCAACCAATTTTTTTTGGAACGAATCAAATGAATTTATCAGTGAACACAAGGTTCATAACAATGAATAAAATATACTTCAAGTATTAACAGAAAATAACAAATTATTTTGTTTCACTGTCACAGTGATTACAACGATTTCAGTCCAAAGCTTCGATGAAATCAATGAACGTTCTCAATGGACACCGTTCATTCTTGCAATGGACCAAGTCAAAAACTTTGTTTTCACGATTTCATGATACAGGAGTGGATGCTCACAATATGTCTTCGTTTCGTGCGTTTTCAGTCATCACTTCAATTCAGCCCTCACAGCATTGTGCCGTTTACTCCACTCCGACCTGTAGTCAATGAGTACAAATCAATCTTCGATATAACGGAATAAACTTGTAGCCATGATATCTTACTGGCATTTTTTTTGCAATGGAGTTTGTCAAATACCCGCACGGTATTTTGCCGTTTTCTTGATTTGCAGGGACTCCCCGGAGGACATCTATGCCATATCACCAGCCCGAAGACATTCTCGAAGGTGGTGACGGAGTACCTCCTGGCTCCGCCATGACCAGAAAGATCAAGCCCTTTCCATGTGGAGGACATCCTTCGTATCGATAACTATTTTGTTGATATGAATCGCCTTTTTTTTTTTTGCTGATTGGACTACTTACGCTGTTGCCAAGTACCGCCTATTGTGTTGTTGCAGTAGTTTGGGCAGTTATTTTTGGCGAGCACGATAGAGAAAACCCGCTTGTTCACGAAAGAACAAGTGGGAAGGTGGGGTGTGTCAATGGCCACGTACACTAATCGACGGACAGCCAACACGAATTTTGTCTGTTCGGTTCCATAGCTTGTGAGCCGTGCTGTAGGACCGAGACATCTGCCTCGATGCCTTGAGTTTATGAAGTGAGTGATGCTTTTATTGCCACCCTTGCCACGGAGAGTGAGCTTGTGTGCCGCTTGTGACTCGGGGACATGCGCTAACCAACAGACGAGGCGAACATGGATCGATCGTGGTAGCTCAAGTTTTCACGGTTGACGGGACAGGTCTGGTGTCTCTGGGCGTTCCTGAACCTGTCAGAGGTGATGAACAGAAGATGACAATGGGTAAATAGAACAAGGATGCGCAATGCTCATGTAGGGGTACTCAGCACCCAATGACATCACATTCTTGCCTTCCGGTGGTGGTCCCGGTTTAGCGGTCTAAAGTGTCACTAAATGTTGCGGCCGCTATTGAGGGCATTGCTGCTATAAACCGGATTGGTAGTTGGTAGTTGGATTTGACTACCGAAGCCATGCCAACAGATGGTTGGGACCACCGTTATTCTGGGCATTCCGCTAAACGGGGAACCACTAATCCGGGACCCCGGCTGTATCCAAAAAGGCTGTCGACTAGACCCATTTGTTTTTATTGGGCGCTCTTGATCCTACCGCGGGTGACGAGCGCGCTGTTTCTATGCTTTTCCCTCCTTGACTTCTCGAAGTGTGTGTACAGCCCTCGGTAGGTGGCCTGTGACCACAGCAGGCGTCCGCGTCAGGTGGACCGGTGCAGATGATGGAAGGCACCGAGCAGCGATAGACCGACCGGAAGAACGATTTACAGCAGTAGGTATGTGCAGGGAACGAACAGCAACCACCCACAGCGACGAAGCAACCAACAATATCCTAAAAAAACTGGTGCCGTGCTGGTTTTCCTTATTCTGCTTCCCAGCACAGAAAGTGACGTCGAAAGCACTAAGTACTTTTCTACCGGCATCTACTGCGTTGTTAGCGGGGGGACGTCTGCCAGTAGGCCGACGAACTCAAGTAAGGGAGAGCAGCAGGGGTGAAGGAAGCGGTGAAAAATATGTCTCCGTTTTAGGTTTCGGAGTGAAGGCTTGGAGTGATCCAACAGCCTCACTTACCCTTTCCCACTGAGAGATGTCAAAGAAAACTCGTTACCACCAAACAACTCTGATCTCCGGCATGCGCAAGACAATTGCCTCCGTATCTTCTCCACACGAGACGACTGGATGTCCCAACCTTCAACTTCAACGTGCTGCGGGCTCTGAGGCCCTCAAACCCCCCTTTTCACCCACGCAACCCGGCAGCCAGTCTGCGACATCTATGTATCTTTTCCACACGAGACTTGTGGATTCTCCCGCGTCCAATTTGAACCTGCCTCGTTTCTGAGGTCTCTAACCCCCCAACTGCCATCCACGGGGGAACCCCTCCTCCGTCGACAGCTATCATATCTCACTTCAGGATTCTCCTACAGTCCTTGGCCCTCTACAACGCGGGTTATACATGGTAGGTGTCATTTATAAGGCGGGTACAATTGGCTGGGACAGACTGAACCATCAAGTTGTCCTACGCATCGAAGGAGGCGGGTGCCCTGTAGAGGGCGGGCTAACCGGTCTGGCGCATACCTGCCTTGTAGAGGGGCTGTGAATGTATGTCCAACTTCAATCCGCCTTGTTTGTGAGGCTCTCTCCTTTTTCGTCAACACAAGCCGCTTTGTCTCGGCCGACAGCTAGCCTATGACATCTCTCCCGCAACAAAAAGAGGAGCGCTGAACTCCAACACCACTATTAACTATCGTGCACACCGGCAGCCTCAAGGAAACCTGCCGCGCCGCGATAGTCCTGATCCCGCCCGTGGGCCTCGCCCTCTCAACTCCGATGGCGCTCTCGCCCTGGCAGTCATCAAGCCCCAGTCTCGCCCCACGCTAGACGAACAATCGAACAATTGCTGTGGCGCGTAGCGCGTACTGCAGCAATATACAACCGTCACTAGGTGGCAAAGGATCCACACACCCCTTGACCTCATTTTTCTCTGAACGACGAAGAGCATGCCAGAATCAAATGGTACGTTGTCGGAAGGCTTTCGCGTCACGCTGTTCGGGACTGACCGCCCAAACTTTTGACGAGGAAGGGACGCAGGCAATAGCTCGTACATAGCCAAGCGAAGGACAGCAGTCACCCATCAGACATCTTCACGGCAGTCAAAAGCAAAGAAAAACGTCTTGGGTTTCAACTATCTCTGCTCTACACCTGCACAGTCTATCTCGCTTCCACGGCAGTCCGAGCAGAATAAAATTTGTCGCCTGGGAGCGCCTGGCTTGCCACAGTCGTGAACAACCCCACGCGGCGCCCATACCCCACCCTGCCGTTCTTCTACGTATTCCCCCTTTCCGGGTCTGCCGCCATTATCGTTCTGCGGACGTTTTCACGTGGCCCAGGGATGACCCCACGCAGGCTAGCATCCAGTCGCGGTGCCCCTACCCCTTCTAGCCTTCTTCTGCGCGTCCTCTCTTTCAGGGTCTGCCCCCATCGCTCAGCTGGCGTCTTAATCTGGCTCAGGCATGACCCTACCTTTCTTCATATTCCCCTACGGGATCTGCCGCCACCGCTCCGCTGGGGTCTTCGTCCGGCTCTGGCACGACCCCTAGCTCCGCCCTCAGCTCTTCGTCCATGGAGAGCTCTTCGATGAGTGCCGCCATCTAATCATCATCCGCCACATCAGTACAGTTTGCGTCCGCGTTTAAGAAACGTCCACACGGGGTCGAGGCTTCAATTTCTTGTTTCGGACACCACCGTCGAGCATAGGTATTTCATTATGTGGATTTTGGTGTAGGATCCACGACTGAGGTGTGCTATTTTTGTCGACCATGCATATTTATCGCCAAATCTTAGCCTCTGTTTCTTGAAGATTTGTTTCTTTATCGTCGGCGCTAACTGTACCGTTTCGCACCGATACCTGGTATGTTATGTACCGTAGTGCTAACGGTGGTCAATTTCCCCAACGGCAACCCGATGGCAACCCAAAACATCGGAGCACGAAAAAACATATGGGTACGTACGTTTATATGTCCCACCGACCCGCCCATTCACTACATATGACGCCGAGGTTTTGACGGAACGCAACATACGACGGAACACCATGGCGGAACGCTTCGGCGGTTCGCTTTGACGACGGAACGCCTTGACAGAACATCTCGACGGAACGCTTCGACGGAACGTTGGGATCCACTGACCCGCCCACCCATATCGACGCGAACCCATTGACGGAGCGCTACGACCGAACCATCGCGGGCGCTATCTGTATCGAACGAATTCCGAACTGCTTCGTGGCCATCGTGCGGACAGGAGGCTTCTCTGTCTACGAAAAAAATAGCGAACTAGTCAGAGACTTCGGGTATCGTGCGAAATCTGGCATCTTTCCTAAAAAATAAAATAGCTAACAAGTCAGGGAGGAAATGAGGCATCTCTGTTCTCGAGTAAAATAAGTCAGCGAGGGAGTGCGCGGGTATCGTACGGAGCGAGTCATCTCTGATAGTTATAAAAATTGCAAACCAGTCAGGAAGGGAGCTCGTGGTTATCATGCGGCACGGGGCATCTCTCTCGCTAAAAAAATTGCCAACCAGGCAGCGAGCAAGCTTCTTGAGCGGAATATGGCATCTCTGTTCCTACCAAAAATAATAGCGAACCGGTCAGGAGTAAGGTTATCGTGCGGAATGCGTTATCAATGTTGCCATGAATTTAACAGCTTATCAGTCAGGGAGGGAATAATGCATCTCTACAAAAAAACAAATGCATGGGAGGAGTACATGGTTACCATGCGGCATGACGCATCCCTGTTGCAAAATAAAATAGCGAACCAGTCAAGGACTAAGGTTCTGAAGCGCGGGCACAAACTATGAGCACACCTCTCTCTCATCGCTGCCCCCCGCGTGTGAAGCCTTCCCGCCGCCGCCGCTGCCCCCCCGCTTGCCCTCCTTGCCGTGATCCGCCCCTCCTCCTCCGCCGCCGCCCGACACGTCCAACGACCGCAGCTTGTAGCGCTTTTTCTGCTTGGCACCGGGTGACACCAGAATCGCCTTCTCTTGTCATCGAGATGTCTGGATAGTGAATGAAACTTCGAACTCGTTTCTCTTCTAGCGATCGTGGCTTGCAGCCTTTCTGTTGGTCTGGAAAGGTAGCATCGCGATTTTTGCTAGTACCAGTCAAATCTCGGGGTGTTGCAAATTTTGTTGTTCATGAACTGCCTATCGACCGTATAAGGGTGTAGCCCTTGTTCAGCTTGGACGGCATAACGTTTCGCCTATTAACAACATCAGTCAGCCAAACGTCTCCGGAATCTGTGAATCTTCTTCTCTAGAACATGTAAATATTTTCCCTGGAAAAAGGTTGATCTTCTTGTTGATGGACATGCGAAGGCGGTTTTCTTATCATCCGCCGTCTCCGGGTGCTATCATTCACATTTTCCTTGACCATGCACCAAGAGTGTGCGAACAATGGGTGGGCGTAGCAAAGCATTCGGGCATTGTGTCTCCCCATCGACGTTCCGGCAATACTTTCTGTGCGCGTGAGCCGGATTTCACGAACAGGAGGAAGGTCACGCAGGAAATTTGGGGCATGTTCAGATGTGGAAGTTTTCGGGCAAAAAAGAGGACGAACGAAAAGTACATCTTGCGTTGGGCTGTGCCCAAAAAATGGTACCCTGCAGGGTGCTGTGCACGAAAGTACCTTGCATTGTGCCATCAAACTGAAAAGTAGGGGTGCACCTGGCATTGTGCTGTGCACGAAAAACGGCATATCTTGAACGTGTAGTCTTCCATTGATTTGATGTATACATAGTTCCCAAAAAAAAACAGTAGTACCTTGGATTGTGTTGAAACAGGGTACACCTGGCATTGTGCTGCGCACGAAAAAGATTAAATCTCGAACGCGTAGAACTCCTTTGATTTTATGTATACATAGCTCCCAAAAAAAAAGATAGTACCTTGGATTGTGTTGGGCAAAACAGGCTAGATCTGGCATTGTGCTGCGCACGAAAACATTAGACTGTATCTCGAACGGGTAGTACTCCTTTGACACTATGTATAGTTCCTTAAGAAGCGGTACAGCACCGTGGGTTGCGCTGTCTCCGGTGGAGGCGTCCTCTTCACGAGAACGACGTCCGGAACATCACCTTGTGTGGTGGTGTGCAAATGGAGGAATATCTGGCATTTTGCTGTGCACAAAACGACAAAAACCTCGAACGGATAGTCCCTCTATCAATTCCATGTATAACTAAAAAAACAAGAAGGTACAGTACCTTGGATTGCGCTGTCTTTGGTGGAGGAGCCCTCTTCACGAGAACGATGTCCGGAACGTCGCCGGATAGCCCGCTCAGGAGAGCCTCGTTGAAATTCTTCCCCCTGCGAACAACGACAAGAACCGCCGAAGCAGCGTTAGTGCGTGTTACGTTTTTGAAGATGATAGCAGGATACAATCATCGTGTCACGTCCCCTCTCCTGTGGGCAAACATGCTCATCATGCTCCAACCTCTCGGGGGCATTTTTTGGGATCGGCAAGGAAGGTGTTGCGAGCATCTCAGGCTGGCAAGAGACCTCACCTCGGAGTTTGTAACGACAAACACAAGATCACGAGAAATGTCCATGGTCGAGCTCCGAAAACAGAAGGCAAAATGGAGTCTCGGCACTCATGGGACGAACAAAGCCATCGCCATCGCAAAGGATACTATTTTTTTTCCCACATCACCAGCTATGAAAACAAGCAAAAAATAAACAAATTACTCATCGTAAGCAAGCCTGAGGTCGAAGCCCAACAACAATCGAAAAAAAAAAAAATGGTGTAGATGGTGTAAAGACTTCACGGCGATCGTTAACTCTTGTCGAGGTATACAATTCGCCAATTGCTGTTTTCCCACACTATCATCACGAAAATGACACACACAATCGCCAACACAATCCGAAACAAACGCGCTTCCACAGCAGTAGCAGCCATGGTCAACACGTGCAGTGTCCTTCTGATATTGCTTCCAAGGTATCTGTCTTAAATCCGGAGAGTGCCTTAGACTCCCCCATGACGCCCCCTTCACGGGGTCCCACATCATTTTAACAGCCTTGATAGACGCTAGCAGTTATTACTACATTGGTTTCTGTCTTAATCCGGAGAGTAGCATAGACTCCCCCATGACGCCCCGTCACAGGGTCCCAAATCATGGTGGCCTTGAGAAGTACTTTGTATTTCCAATCGCAGTGAGACTGACCTCTTTTCATTGGTCAGCCGGTTAGCGCGGTCGATGCTAACAAAAAAAAAAATCATTGACCACTGCAGCAGCGAACGAAAATGATTATTTCTTACACCATGGTGGTATAGGGGGGTTCAGTGGATCATTTTGCCCCAAAGTGTTGCATTCTCCCAAAACGAAAAAAAAAGCAAACTCTACAGCGATCGACACAGCTCGATGAGGCGATCACGAATATCGTTGCTTCGTTCTTCATATCTTATCCTTTCGAAAGATATCGCACAAAACGTGAATGGGAAAATTGTTGTGCATGGACCGTAGACCGTAGCAATTACGACTGTATCGTATGCACACCTGAGGTCGTAGCCCAGCAGCATGTCGCCCGCCTCCAGGGGATGCAGCCCCGCCGAGTCCGCGCTGAGGTGGGTCAGCACCGTGAAGGTGTCGTCAGCGCTACCGACGTCGCTATCGAGGGCCACCTTTTTTTTTGGCAACGCGTTTTGAGAGCAGAAGCAGCAAGCATGCATGTTTGGATTGAAGTACGCACCTTCATGAGATTAGTCTAGAATTTCGCCACTGAGTCGTGTTTGTTAACCCTTGTCTTCCTACCATTCGTGAAAATTCGATGCCATTTTCTTACACGAAATCATTCCTAGAAGATGACTCCACACGAGCCGGTGCAACAAACGGAAAATGAATGGCCTCCCCTTTAAGGAGAACACATTGCATTATTTTTCTCATTGTTCGTCACGTTCAATCAACGCTCACAAACACAGCATTGCTGCCGTGAAGGAACTCGAATCGACAAAAAAAAACGAAGTTAGTGTTTCGTTCCTCTTGCTCAACGGGGGGTGTCTGGCTCACGACAACCTCCTAGAGACCCATGTTCTTCGCCCTGGCGTCCATCACAACAGCAACAATAAGAATGAAAACACAACCAAAGCTGCAGCTGCTCGTGCGCAGCGGAGGTCTGGCTCACCGCAACGTCCATATAAACAAAAACAGACGCACACCGCACTGAGACTGACGTCTTTACATTGGTGAGCCTCTTAGCGCGGTCGACGCAAACAAGCGACACACGCACGTACACGGCACACGAGACAAGCCGTGTTAGCGGGGAGCCGGCTCACCACTACTTCCCACAGACTCTTGCTCTTCGTCCCATCTGCCAAGGACGCGGCGGATCTCCCCTTCTTCCCTCCCGCCCCCCCCCCCCCCCCCCCCCCCCCCCCNGGCTCGCAGTCAAGAACGACGAACTCCGTGAGGGAGGACGCGGACAGGAGGGGCTCGGGGGGGGAGCGCCAGTACCGGTCTGCGGGCATGTCGGCGCTGTCAGCGGCAAAGAGGAAGAACCGCACGTGGAAAATAGCCAGAATCGATTCGTGAGAGGGGATTTGACGACCACATCTGCCTTGTCGTGCATACCGAGGAGAGCGATGGAAGGGAACTTGGCGAAGCTCGTTGACACCATCCGTGAAGAAAAAATGTTGTGCTAAGCATGGCATTTGTGTCGGTCGTGTGGTGTACATGTACTGCGCAGTGCGTCCCAGTTGTTGCCACCTACAGGCCGACAACGCACACCAGATCAGAGAGGCTGCTGTTTCAACCAGATGCCGGGAGAGGGGGGCGGGGGATAGAGGGACAGAGACAGAGACAGAGCGAGAGAGCAACTCCACACCGAAACAGATGGTGTCCGCAACATTCACTCACGTCTGACCCGATGATGGCCCGACGAACTGCACAACAGACGTCACCCTCTGCACCACGGCGATCGTCCCTTGCAGCCTGTTGCCCGATCCCCTCGGGAGGGCCACTAGATCGTCGCGGCACAGGGTGGGCACGTCGATCGCTACTGTGTGCTGAGTGTTGCGTACGTTGCTGTGATTGTCCGTCGAAACCAGCTGTAGGGAGGGAGGGAGGGAGGGAGAGGACAGCCGACACGTAGAAAAAGATGACAATCAAAAACGGGATGCATGTTCTGAAAGCAGGGAGCAGTGGTGACACTCTCCGCACCGTAAAAAACTACCCACAATACAATGTCTGCGACCCACGGCACCGCAACCGTGAGCATGTGCGAACATCCAAAACAAGACCCACCGCGGTGCCGCCCTACAACGTGGATATCCTTGAACAATACGGTGCGGGTTGATGGGACGGTGCGGTGGCATCACCGCACCGCCCCATTTCGGGATGGAAAAAATAACACCGCACCGCACCGCACTCCACTACACCGCTGTGACCATAGGAGGAAGACCAAACAAAAAACAAGACCGCGGTTCGTCGTACTCATCTGTATTCATGCGTGAATCGCCACACAGGCAACCACCCTGGTAAGTAGCGCTGTTGCGAAACAAGCCCATCAACCACGGCCGCCACACTCTATTTGGGTGTGCGTTTCCGGCATTCATGCTCTTCAGTATTCATGCGTGAATCGCCTCAAAGGCAACAACACCGGTAGGTAGCGCTGTTTCGACAACAGGCCCACCACCACGGCCGCCACACTCTATTTGGGTGTGCGTTTCCGGCATTCATGCTCTTCAGTATTCATGCGTGAATCGCCTCAAAGGCAACAACACCGGTAGGTAGCGCTGTTTCGACAACAGGCCAACCACCACGGCAGCCACACTCTATTTGTGTGTGTGTTTCCGGCATTCGGGGAACACTAGTATACCGCCGTCTCTTACCGTATATGCCACAAGATAACACACCCCCTTGACCGATTTTCGAAGCTCGATTTCTCAACTGCAGGAACAGTCACAGCGCCGAAAACGGCGGCGTTGAAACCGTTTTGTCGAGAGCTTTTCGAAAATGTATCGTTTCGGTTGTGCATCCTCTTCGTCGTGGAGGAGTCGCGCATTGAAAATCGGTCTAGGGGGTGTGTTATCTTGTGTCACATACGGTAACCACCACAACGGCATAGGCAACCAATCAACCCAGACCCCCGCACTCGAGTGTCTCCTCTTCTTTCTCGCCTTAGTGGATTCTCTGGACCTGATCGGAGCCACCGAAGAGAGGTACCCGACGAACTCCACGGCGTCGTGCTTCGCCCCGAAGTAAACGTCCATGCCTCCTCGAACGGTCTTCTCCGCGTGAAGAACACCGTTGACACAGTAGTAACAAAAAAAACAAGAGAAAAAAAAAACGAAAGCAAAACAACATGAAAAAAAAAAAATCAGAACGACCAAGAACCACGACAAATATCTTTTCGGCGAAGGATGTAGTTGATAATGCAAAAAAAAAATAAGAAGACAAAAAAAAAAATGCATTCATGGTCGTTTCGGCGAAGGATACCGCTGAAAGTGAAACAACAAAACAAGAAAAAATGATGACAGCGTTTCGAAGGTCATCATGGCGAAGGAGAGGGTTGGCAGCGAAACAGTGCATCACAAGGAAAAAGCACGAACGTCGACAGTGAAGCAGAAAAACACAGGAATAACGCAAGCAACACGTTCAAGGTATTGTCGGCGAACAAGACCGTTGACAGCAGTGACCCAACAAACAATTATTTGTGAACATGGAAGGACTTGGGAGCGTTGCTGAAATTTACTACGCACCGTATACGACACAATAGAACACTCCCCCTGGACCGATTTTCAAAGCCCTGGACCGATTACGCCGCCACCAAGAGGATGGATGAACGAAACGATACATTTCCGGAGAGCTCTCGACCAGACGGCTTCAACACCGCCGGATGTATCATTTCTGTGGCCTACGGAGGGTTAGAGGAGGGAGACTTAACCCGTACCACACGCTCCGCGTAGCACAAAGCCTCCTCGGTGTCTATCCGAACGTGTCATCACGACTAAGGCACAGCAGGATCCTCCCTCCAAATACCACCGGACGGGACGAAACGGTTGCACAATACAGCAGTACCTCCACGCTGATGCATTTCCCGTCCAACAGCATCCACAACCTCCATGGCAAAAAATCAAATGGCAACACCAGCACGCACAAGCCTTGCATACCTCAACACTGATGCATTTCCTGTGCGCGTCAGCCTGTAGAATTCGCTGCTCCAGAAGCATCATCGTCCGCTTGTGCCCAGCCCGCTGCCGGATCTGCGGCGCAAGAAAGCACACAATCGGGAAGAAAATGCGAAAAACAACAACAGAGAGAGCGAGAACCTACTCCGGATAGCTAGAAAAACCGAGCCAAACTGACGGATCTTTGGTGCACTTAAACACAAATCGGGAACATCTTGCGACAAAAAAAACAAGTATACGCTTGAGAAAACTGAACAGCGTTGTTTCCAAACACCATGAAAATGCGGGCAAAAAGAGATCAGCCCCTGTCAGGCAGAGGCTAGCCGGAGTCTTCAACACTACCACTAGGATTCTTCCCCCGTAGGCGATTGACTTGTCTTTTGTGGTCGATTTTGGTAATAAAACTAAAAATATAGTGAAATAAGAGCTACCTAACAGCCTGTTCAACACGGGAAACACAAAGCGGGAGAGTTTTGGGACCATGCGCAAGTGTGATGACCACGCCAGCATCCAAGAGAGATGCAACCGTCTTGGGATTTGGGACACGGAGCCGCTGTCTGCGAGAGAAACTACCGGAAGGGAGCGGAGAGATGGCACCCTCCCTGGACCGATTGTCAGAACTCGATTTTCTCCCCAACCAAGGTTGTGCTAACACCAATGATCGTGACTTTGGAAACATCTTGTCGAGGGCTTTCCGCAGACGTACCGGGCTCTTTTCTGCAGCCACTTGAATGCAGGGCAATCGACCTTTGCGAGTCGGTCGGTCCACGGGAGGGTGCCATCTCTCCACCTCCTACCGCGGTACCTCATCGACCGACTAAGGGAACTCACACGAAGAGGTAAACGATACTCCGATCCGGAACTAGAATAAACTAGATAAGGGCCGAGCCGAGAAGAGACGAGGGTCGGTCGGGGTTGGGCACAAGACAAAAAAACATGTAGTAAAGGTTTCGAAGAAGCACCGTTTTCAAGAAGAACTGGTCCGCACCTGAACTATGGCCTTCCACGTTTCACGTCTTTGAACAAAAACAACGACAGAAATGTAACGGTTCAAAAAGCAACGGTTCGCACCTGAACTACGGCCTTCCACGTCTGATTGGTGAACTCCTTGTTGCACACGTTGCACTGCCTGTTGTGGACCACGAACTGGAGGGGGAACACATACACGAAGCCCCCACAGGGGGNACTCGGGAGTCAGCAACTATAAAAGAATCTTCATATTTCCATTCCAAGTCTCTCGCGGTTGGAGACGCACAGAGTGTGAACCTCTGAGGTAGGCTACACAGCCTCCTGGCATTTGCAGCATCGTACTGCTGCTAGTGCACAGCGGAAAATCTCTGACATTTTCCACCAAAACATAAGGGGGGGGGCGGGGGGGGGGGCGTACTCTTTATGTTTTGCATGCCTTAGCGGTTAGCCATTGACGACGTGTCCTCAAGCCGAGCACTATTCCCACAGGACCGATCACCGCTGATGTCCAATCGTTCCGTTCTACTTAGCCAAAGGTGGTTGGGGGGATCGCGGGATGAAAATGAAGAGAGCAACAAGGGATGGGAACAAGTCTTTGACGCAGCAGCCGCGTTCACACATGAGAAAACGTTGCGAAACAAACCTGTGCAGTAAGAAACAAAGGGCCAGATTGGCGATAAACATGAATACAAATATCGGCAATAAAACACACCTCAGTCATGAATCCTACACTAAACTCAACATAACGTCCAATGCTAAGTCGACATAACGTCCAATGCTAACTCAACATAACGTCCAATGCTAACTCAACATAACGTCCAATGCCAACTCAACATAACGTCCAATGCTCGAAGGTGGAAACCCCAAAACAACGTTTCCTAAACGCGGGCGCGAATTTCCCGTACACGCCTACCTTTATTCTCATCATGTTTGCTCTTCGTTACCTCCAGACAACGTGGCGTCCCACAGAACGCGCCCCCACTTCAAGACCCCTTGTGGGGTAGTGAAACGTAGCCTCCACAAAACCAAACTTACAGAACTTGAGCACCATTTTGTGAGCTCGGAAAAAGATCCCCTACAGCAGTAAAACCTATACTAAGTATAGCGACCATTCGATGCATGACCCTAGGAATACATTAACAACCCCAGCCTCGGCCGAAACCAACTAGAGCTTCTCAAGTGCGGGCGTGCTCTGTACTCTATTCTCGTCATTTTTGCGTTGCGTCATCTCCAATCATGTGGCACGCTACAACCCACACCTCTCAATATTATATGAATCTTATTGTGGTATGCTACTTGTATAGCCTTTACGATGAATTCGACATGTATAAACATGGAGACTATACTACACATGAACTTTATCCTAAACAATAAAGCGCCTCATCATTATCATTGTACCTCGACCGTGGCGTCCTGCTGCAGCATGACCTTGTTCAGCACTTCTTTGCGGACGGTAATGCGGACCTTTAGCCTCTTGCTGTGGGGCTCTGTAAAACAAAAAAAAAGAGACACAGAAGCGAGACAGGAAGAAAAAAAAAAAGACGTCAGACCGGGCATGGCCGCTTATAAAACAACCCGCGCACAAACAAGCAAGGATATATATCTGAAGAGAAGAGGAAGAAACAGAGACGAGCAAAAAATCAACGAAAATGACGACAATTAGCAAAAGAGCAAGAGGAAAATGAGGATAGCAAGAAACAGAGACGACAAAAGCAACTCGAAAAAAAAAATCCGAAGATAACCACACCGGTCCATATCCACTTTGCGTCCACGAGGTCCTGCTTCGCGAGGCCCGGAATTTTCTTGAGGACCAGAGCCAGGAACGGTGCTGACTCCAGCTCGAAACCTGACCAGTGGTCGTTCTTCGTGAGCCACTTGAGGCAACGCCGGCACTGGGTGGTGGCAAGCACATTTTTAGTCAGATGACAACAGGAAACAGCGGGAGGTAGGGAGGGAGGGAGGGACAGAGAGAGAGTGTGTGTTTGTGTGTGTGTGTGTGTGTGTGTGAGAGAGAGAGAGAGAGAGAGAGAGACCGAAAAGGCGGGAACGAGAGATTGACAGACAGAAGTCAAGAGAGAGAGAGACAGAAATCAAGACAGAGAGACAGAAATCAAGACAGAGAGAGGCAGACGCATGAGAGAGAGAGGGAGAAGTACGAGAGTGAGAGAGTGAGAGAGAGACGGAGACCTAACATATTACATACGAGGTCCTGAAAAGACGGTGACGCATACCGTATATGACACAAGATAGCACACCCCGGTGATAACAATTTGGAGTTTGAAAATACTATCACCGGGTGTGGCACCCTGTGGGGGGTGTGTTATCTTGTGTACCCCGGGTGATAAAGTGCAGCTCGCAGGGGCCCCTTAGGGGGTGAGATAAAACAGGGGGTGGGATAGCGCGTCCGAACAGCCACAGCGTGTGCTTTGGGGCGTGACAAATGAGGGGGGGTGATACACTGCTTGTAGAGATGAACCGCTGCTGCCGCACACTTGAATGGGTGTGGTATTGCGGAGGCGTGATAGCCTTGCCTGCACGTACACGTGCAGTGTAGGGACCTTACTGAAGGGGCGTGGAAAAACAACGACAAGGGGGCTCAACCGAGGTGACGAAACTCCTGAGCACATGACCTCGGCGACAACTCAACCCCCTCATCGCCAAAAAAATTTGAAACAAAATACGGGTTTGATTCGAGCAAGAAAAAAAAAAAATCGAAGGTAACTCGACCGACACGATGATTGGCGGTGGCCACAGACTGCGTGAGCCATCCTTCCTGCCCCCCTCACAAAAACGTTTGCTGCTGCTTGCCTTGCTTTGGATACGACCAAAAGAGAGCTACTCAAAGACACCACCAACAAGCCGCAAATCTACACTGAATACGAGACACAACAACGTTGAGCTCCACGCGGCGAAGAAAAGAGCCGACAGTTTCTTCACACCCGCTCGAAGACGACGGAAGGAACAGAAAAACACGTCAGGAAAAACCCGAGGAAACATGAGAAGGACACCACAAGCCATTTTCTCAACACCGACATCGCTGCCGATGCCTCACGGCTCCTCGCCCTCGTCGTCGCTCAGGTCCACCACCATCCCGCCCGTGTCGTCGTCATCGTCGATGTCCAACACCTCCAGCAAGTTCTCGCCTCCGGACGACGAGTCAGCCTTGTCCGCAGCGTCCGATGGCGCGTCGATGGGCTCCCCCTTGGCGTTGGCGCCGAGCTCCTGGTTGGCCCAGGCCTCGTCTTCCGACCCGTCGAAGGGCAGCAGCAGGCCAGCCTTCCTCCAGCTAGAGCGGATTTCATCCGCGGTCAAGGCATCCCACGCCTTCTTGACCCACTGTGCGACCAAACCCCGCGAAGGGGGCTCCGGGTAGCCGCGGTCGTTGCGCGTGACGTCCTTGGAAGCCATGTGGTCGTCGTAGAGCCTGGACATGTTTGCCTTGAAGATCTTGTTGACCGACCAGGCAGGCCATCGCACAGCTGGAGCTTTGGAGTCAGGCCTCCCGGGATGGGGAACAGCGTCGTGTTGGACTCCTCCATCGCCTTGGTAGACGCGTTCGTTTTATGGACGGTGTAGTCGTCCCACGCCAGAAGCGTGTCAGGCTGACGGTAGCCGCAACCGCCACACCTGCGGCACCCACACGTCGTCGAACACCCGCTGGGAGGGCCATCCCTTGGGGTCCACGGCGTAGGCCATACCTCGCGGGTACGCAGCCCTTACTGTCCTTGTAGTTCTTGAACTCGCGCTCGATGCTGTTGGCGGCAGGGGCCTTCCCCTTCGGAGTGGGCTGGCCCTTGAAGATGAGGAGGGGCGGCAGCTTGCTGCCGTCGGCGAACACGGTCAGGGACCGAAGTGATGCACATCTTCTCCTTGCCGCCGGTTTTGACGGCAGTCTCCTTGTCGCCCGTGGCCTGCGGGATTCGTAGAACCGCGAAAACGACATCAACGTGGGGTGCGTGGAAGCGGCTTTAGTTACCAAGATTCGGAAAGTGGCAGCAATGGTTGCAAAAAACATTACCAAAATCAGAGAACAGGAAGCGAAAAAAAAGACGCAAACTACCTACATAAAGATAGTTCCTCACAAAAAAAAGGGGCGGCCTACAATAAGCGTTCACGGAGGAAACGGTAGGATTGCTACATCTAACGCAGTACGAGCAAAAGCTTGGGCAAAACCAATGCTCACGTCCACAGTGCCCTTCGCCGGGCTCTCGAACCACGTAGGGGTTTCGTCCATGTTGCCGATCTGCGCCAAGGCAAACTTGAGACGCGGCCCCGAAAGAACACCAGCGCCACTCCCACCCCCGCTGCCGCTCGCGCTGCCTCCCACCCCTGCCACAACCCCCAGGCACTCGACTCCGTCCGCATGTTTGAGCGCGGAAGGCACGTCATACTTCAGCCTCCTCCAGTCCTTGATCGCCTGCATGGCGACCATAGGCCAGCTAGAAGGAAGTTTCTGGCCGTGCCGGGTGACAGCTCGCACAGAGGAGCGGTAGACCCTGAGAAACCTTCTGCACCACTGGTTCTGCCTGTTCTTGTACTTGAGGGAGCCCTGAAGATCGGATGGCGCCGGCCTCTCCCCGAAGAAGTTCGGATTGAGTTCGACGTCCTTGTTCTTGGATCATCTTCGTCGAAACACGGACGGACATGCCGTCAGAACGCAGCTCGTTGATCCAGTCCACGACCTCACGCTCGGCCGCCGTGTGCGTCCTGATCCGTCCGACGTTCAGCGACAAGCGGTTGTTGGCTCTATTCTTGCGCTTTGCTCCTCCCTTGAACGTGTCCGCTTCCGCCAGCGCGGCTTCGTACTTGGCGACGTTTTTGACCCGCGCCGCCAACGTCGCCTTGTCGGGAACCTTCAGGATCCTGGTCGCGTAGGTTATCCCGATAGTCCCGTTCGGCCCTTGCGCCCCCTTGATCTTCCTCTGTGGGTACCTCACCGCATCCACCTTGAACTTCAGAGGGTAGCGCTTCCTTTGGCTTCCACCACCAAGCTCGGGGATCGGGAAGTTCGGCGGCTCCAACTCCAGCTGCCCTTTCTTCCTCTTGCCCTTGTTCTGTGCCGGCGTACCAAAGAGAACGCCGCCGAGCCCATCTCCCCACTCTGTCTCTCCGGGATACATCACGGCGCCGGATGCAGCATCGTTGGCCACCGGCGCTCCTCCCGCTGCCGGCGTNCGACGTCCTTGTTCTTGGATCATCTTCGTCGAAACACGGACGGACATGCCGTCAGAACGCAGCTCGTTGATCCAGTCCACGACCTCACGCTCGGCCGCCGTGTGCGTCCTGATCCGTCCGACGTTCAGCGACAAGCGGTTGTTGGCTCTATTCTTGCGCTTTGCTCCTCCCTTGAACGTGTCCGCTTCCGCCAGCGCGGCTTCGTACTTGGCGACGTTTTTGACCCGCGCCGCCAACGTCGCCTTGTCGGGAACCTTCAGGATCCTGGTCGCGTAGGTTATCCCGATAGTCCCGTTCGGCCCTTGCGCCCCCTTGATCTTCCTCTGTGGGTACCTCACCGCATCCACCTTGAACTTCAGAGGGTAGCGCGTCCTTTGGCTTCCACCACCAAGCTCGGGGATCGGGAAGTTCGGCGGCTCCAACTCCAGCTGCCCTTTCTTCCTCTTGCCCTTGTTCTGTGCCGGCGTACCAAAGAGAACGCCGCCGAGCCCATCTCCCCACTCTGTCTCTCCGGGATACATCACGGCGCCGGATGCAGCATCGTTGGCCACCGGCGCTCCTCCCGCTGCCGGCGTTGCTGGTGCTGGTGCTGGAGCTGGCGACAGTGCTGAAGCTGGCGCCGATGCTGGAGCTGGCGCCGATGCTGGAGCTGGCGCCGGTGCTGCTCCTGATGGAGGCGCTCCGAGTGTGCCGCTCACCCTACAGAAGACAAACGGAGACATATATGTGCGGGAAGGCACGAAGCGGTCCATGTTGGAACGCACGGAAACGTGTGTCGTGTGGGCGGAAACCAAAGCTGNGGTGCTGGTGCTGGAGCTGGCGACAGTGCTGAAGCTGGCGCCGATGCTGGAGCTGGCGCCGATGCTGGAGCTGGCGCCGGTGCTGCTCCTGATGGAGGCGCTCCGAGTGTGCCGCTCACCCTACAGAAGACAAACGGAGACATATATGTGCGGGAAGGCACGAAGCGGTCCATGTTGGAACGCACGGAAACGTGTGTCGTGTGGGCGGAAACCAAAGCTGTTTCTTCACAAAGAGTATGCTGATTGATTTTTGGTTGACAAGGGGCACCGTGTCCAATTTTCCAAAAATCGTTTGGCGGTTGAAAGTACACTTTAGGGTGAACAACAAATGTGCAAAGCAGCACCATTGAAAATTAATCAGGGCGGTATGGAGATGCCAGCTGCAAACAAAGCTGCGACATTTCCACGACACACAACAAAAATCATACACAAAAAACAACTTAAAAATGTGTACAATACCGACGAATGGCCATAAAAATACTGCAAACGAAACAACTACGAAATGGGCACGCAAAGACAGAATCATTTCCCGGGAGCGTGTGGAAAAAAAAAAAGCCACATGCACACAAAACAACTTACAAAATGTGTACCGGGAACGTGTGGTTAAACAAAGCGACTGCACACGAAAGAAACCCTCAAAATGTGTCCTGGGAACGTGTGGCGCAAAAAAAAAAAAGAAGGACTACACAAACTCTGGAGTGTGCGGGTGGTGCAAAAGCCAACCCACAATTGCACGTTTGGAGACCACACGCGGACTGATACTACGCCAATTCCACGAAGCACATGTACACTCACTTGGATCGTTCTTCCGTGCCGACGGAAGTGCTGGGCTCCTGGTCCACCACGTCAACCGCAAGCTGAGGTGCTTGGCGGGTGTGCGTTGACTCGTCTGCTGCGGAACTCATACGTGCTGCTGAGAGCAAGACAGCAACTGGCTGCTGCTGAGGCGATGCGGAGGCTGTCATGTTGGCGCCTGTTGCTGTTCCAGCTCCTGCTGCTGTTAGATCAGCAGGAGCAGGAGTAGGAGCCTCGTGCGTAGAAGAGGTGTGCGCGGGCCCAAAGAAGGAGGTGATCTGCTGTGGCGCCTGCGCTGCTGCAGTCGAAGCAGCTGGCGAAGGAGCGGAGGTACTTGCGGCTGCATTCTGCTCTGCCTGCACGTTCATGTTGTTGGGGTTCTCCATGCGGGGTGTTTCCCCGCACACAGCTGGGTTGTGTGTGTGATTGCCCAGGGCAGATGCTGTCACCCCGGTGATAAAAAAAAAAAGAGGGGCCCCGTGACTAATCGGCGCAACTAAAAACATCACCGGGGTGTGTTATCTTATGTACCCCCGGTGATAAATCGATGGTTTGTCAGAAGCGCCCAAAACTACCACCGGGGTGTCGTATTCTGTGGGGGGGGTGCTTTCTTATGTAGGTGTGTTATCTTGTGTCATATACGGCATATTGCGTAGTCAAGGACACGCCCAGGCACCCGCGACAGGACCTTTGACGTTTACGGCATCTTTGGGTTGCACCTGTGTACATTGGATGTTGCTACCAACGTTACTATGATGAAACGACCTTCTGGTATGGTATACAGAATGGACACACCAAAGTCAGCATATTCAATGTTGCATACCACTCCGTACATACAGTAGGCTGTGCAATATGAACCCAAATAAGAAGAGAGGTGTGGAATGTAAGAGAGAGTAGTGCATGCAAGCCGACGCCTGACCACGATTGCAAGCGACGTTTACGCTTGCTGGTGTTCCAGTCGAACACGGTTGTCATAGACCCGACTCTTCTTACTCCGGTTTAAGAGGGGGCTCCGATATAAGAGGGTCACACCCCACCTTCTTACAGTGGAGCGACGACTGAATGTGTTCGCTCGTGGTATGGTACACAACGGCAGGAGATCCGCACTCCGTGAGGGACACCGTTGGATTACATAAAAACGCCTCTGGCATACCCGGCCGGCGACGAGGTTGTGAAGACAGCACGAGCGACACCTTGAACCCCCCCCCCCCCCCCCCCCCCCCCCCCCCCCCCCCCCCCCCCCCCCCCCCCCCCCNNCCCCCCCCCCCCCCCCCTATGCGGCACAACCATGAGAACGAGTCATTTCAAAAATTATATTAACCGCTCCGTTCATAATCTGGGCGAAGGAGTATGAAAACTGTTGTTTCACACACAGCAACTACGCACAACATGAGAACAAATCGGACAAGATATTATTCGGAGAAGAAATCAGTTTGATTTGTTTTGTCTGCCTCTGTCAACGAACAGACCCGAATTATGTCAGCCCCCTCCCCATGAGAACGAATCAGTTCGAAGTTTTTTGTCCGCCTCTGTCAACGAACAGACCTGAATGATGGTGAGCCCCTTCTTCGGAATGCCCTCGGTTACGTCCACCTGATCCTGGAGGCACGCACCGCACATGTTGGCACCTGCCACCGCCCGACATGGCGCAGAAAAAAAAAAAACAGAAGCAGACGTAGAAATACAAGCTGATCATCATACAACACTTTGGATTATCTCAGTGCCGCTTTATCCCGGACACGTATACGTGGAAGAGATGGATTTGTTGCAATACAGTCCAACCTCGGCTGAGGGTACACCTGTATTTTTGTTACAAAAAGTGACCTTAAGCCGGGGACGTATCCTCAAGGTTGATATGATAACCCTCCTTGTGTTGTACATTCTGCGAGCCACCCTGCCTGTGACAAAAAAAAAATGCCCTTAACCGAAGGAGTTTCCTTAAGTTTTGGTGTCCTCAGGCGAGGCATGACTTCTGTTCTGCAAGGAAAATAGAAAGGCACCAATGACCCAACAAAAATTGCCCCGATAATTAAAAGGGAGCATCGGTCGCCCCGGTGGTCTAGTGGTACCCTCGTTAACCGCTAGTCGCAGAGGTCGCACGAATCCCCATGGGTTGAAGAATTTGCAAACTCTGCGGGTGGAAGCGAAATACATCTGAAAAGCTCTCGTGAGTACCAAACTTCGACATTAGCACCGTTGACGAGGGAACGAGACGGCTGGACTCTTCCCGCGATAAAAATAAAATTCAGCACGCACCACAGGAAGAAGGGGGGGCATGAAAATGACAAAAAAGAAGAAAAAAAAGCCCTGGTGTTTACCCCCTCTTGTGTGACCCTGGATGGTTGTAGTTGTACGAAAAAATACACTGAAAAGTATAGTACTCTACATACGCTGAAAAAGTAGAGTACACGTCTCACCACGAAAAATGGGGGGACTGTCGCCATAATAAAACGGATGACAATACACACACAACACACTGTAGACAGCACCGATGAGCCATGCGAATTGCTTGGGATCGAAAAAGGAAGGAGACACAATGCACTCATGAGCCATCGCGACCTGCATGAGAAAGATTATCGTCCATTTACCATCAGACTTCAAACCACATCTGCACCTCAAGCGCTTAGGCCTCGCTCGGGATTGTCCTGTTTCCACAGACCGAGTGTCCAACCTGATATGAAAACATTGAAATTGACATTTTCCCTGCAGCTACTCCAATACGCTGTTCTAGAAAGTATACATTATCTCACAAAAAGACAACACCTTCGGGGTTCAACCACAGTCAAAAGGACGTACCATACGTGTTTAAGTGAGGGGAGGGAAGCCAGCTGGACACTGGGCTTATATTGAGTTTGATTAAGCCCACAAACTGGAGTGTACCAGTGATGCCAGCTGGTGCTAAGAACAAAAGCATCTGCATATGCGGATACATTTTACAACACATCCCCTGTAGTTCTTCACTGGGTCAACGACAAAAAAATCGGGAAGCCCTCCGCTATGTCGTGTGTAAGCGTCTTGGCGTGTGCCATGAAAACATCGACACCTTCGCTGCAGTACGACAAAAATCTTCGGCGTGTGTCATGAACACAGCTGCAGTATGCCATTACGCCTGGGCGTGTGCCATGAACATACCGATATTTTCGCAGCAGGAGGCCAATTAGACGCGTGCCATGAAAACATCGACACTTGCGCTCCAGTACTGCTGTAATCCACGAAGCTTTGGCACGTGTATGCCGATGGTAGTATGGGCTGCGGCTTAAGGCACTTGCATTAAATGGGGAGGAGGATGTCTGAGTACGGCAGGCGCACGGAGGACAGCGATGAAGAATTTGCAAAAGTCCCGCAAACACCAACGCTACAGCCGGAGCTAGCTGGTGGAATGGTTCACCCGATGACTTCACACGCGCTGCCTCAATTCTCCGGCGAACAGCAATGCATACTTTCTAAAAAGCACGCGGAGACGCATGGAGCAAAACACACAAATACCGTATACGACACAAGATAACACACCCCCTCGACAGATTTTCAAAGCTCGATTACTCCACGACGAACAGGATGCATAAACGAAATGATACATTTTTGGAAAGCTCTCGACGAGATGGTTCCAACGTCGCCGTTTTCGGCGCCGTGACTCTTTCTGTTGTTGAGAAATTGATGTTTGAAAAATCGGTCCAGGGGTGGGTGTGTTATCGTGTGTCACATACGGTACTCCCACGACGAAGAATGCTACAGCGATCACACGCGGCAAGCTATCGACGAGAATGTTGCTCCAACATACGTGTCTCGTGCTTCAGAGTGCTGTGGTCGAGCTGTGAAGGTCGCCCAGGAGGTGAGGTACGTTACGTATGGCATCCAATGCGACCTCAATCGTGGTTGCGGAATCTTGCGTATGCCTTGTGAAACCAACGTTAGCGGCTAGAAGCACTCACCGTTGGGCTGTATCGACCTTCCGCACAAGCAGCAAAATATGGTTGCCAGCGAAGGGTCGAATGTGACACGTTTAGTAATGAGACTTCACCGCAGCAGCAACACCGATGCGCACACTCACTTCCGTGGAGCACGACGAAAGGGCGCGAGAGGTACCCACCAAAAATCACACAAATGCGACCTTAGCGGCTAGAAGCGCTCACCGTTGGGTTGTATCGGCCTTCCGCACAAGCAGCAAAGGATGGTCGCCAATTTCTTGCTGCTCCCCGCTGCCGCCGCTCCCCCCGCAGCACCACCTGTCAAGGTGTTGGCTGCTACTATCGGCCCTTGTCCCCCGCTGCGTCTTGTCCGGTCCTGCGTCTCCGAGGATGGGTCATGGGTGGTGACTGCCTCGCCGTTGCCCACGAACCCCTCTTTTTGGAACCCCGACATTGCCTTTTCCTTCCCTTTGTCTCTGTCTGCTTCTCTTCTCCAAATTTGTCGCTTTCTCGCTCTCTTTCTCTGTCGCTCTCGCTCTCTCTTGGGAAGGAGTCGCGTCAAACGCTGTGCCGATGCTCGGCTGTTGCGCTTGCCGCCGCCGCAAATGAACGATTGCCCCGTCTTCCGCCTTCTACCCTCCTGCTCGTTGGCGGCGCCAAAGGTTCCTGTTGTTAAATAGCATGGGTTGACCAAGCGACGCGGCATTAAGAGAAAAAAAAACGAGGTATTGGATGCGGTGGGGGGGGGAGTAGGTGGGGTGACTGTACACGCATACGTAATTCGGGTCGTTCGGGTGGCTTCGGTACAAACTGTCGTTGGTAAATTCAGGCGTCAGACGTGCCGCTGCTCCCGACGGAGACTCGTCCTGTGTGCACGGGCGACGTTGGAGGTCACAGAACTTCCATGACAAACCCACGCGGCGAGGATAGACTCTTCCAAATGTTTAAAGAGAACTCGGAGGGTTTTTGGCGTCGCCCCGGCCATGAGTAGTGTATATATATATTACACAATCCTCCCGGTTTAACCCTGTTAGTACCCAGTCCCTCCGAAAAAAAAAATGGCGAAATTATGTTAGTCAGTGGTCGAAGGGGCTACAGTCCCTCCAAAGAATCTGAACTCCTTGCCAGACAAAGGGTGACATGGCTTCAGTATCAAAAGTGTTCGCAACACACGTGGGGACACTTTTCACTTTTCATACTGAAGCCAAGTCAGCAACGTTTTCCAGTACCAGGCGTTGTACAGTTTTGCGAACTCGGGGGCACGCGGGATGGGAGATGTGTACAGCAAGTCAGAGGCCCAGGAGAGGCATCACACAGCATATCACACAGCGTACCACCTCAGCCAAACATGACAGACCAAGGGTTCTTACGTACGTTGCATTCAGCGGAGGCTAGGGTGAATACAGCAGTGCGGTAAATAGGTCTTTGAGTGCTGTGTCCCAAAGTGTCCCCAAAGTGTCCCCATTTGGGCTTTCAGTTTTAGGAGGGTAAAGAGGAAATCGGATATAAGAGATTGGTGTTGGCTTGTCCCAAGCCTCTCTTCAACCGTTGCTGCTACTGCTGTATTGTCAAAAATTGACCAGCAAAAAAAAAAGTCTCAAGACTCCGTTCAATGGATGGAGACCGATTCGTTTTGAACTCAAACTTGTACTGGAGTAAGGCGGAGTTCTGAAAATCGCTGCGGGGTACATGTAATCGGGGGAAAGTCCCCGAGAGAGAAAGCTTCGTGTCCAGGTGTCCGTGCATCCACATGGGCCGGCACGATGGACCGGCATGTGTCCTGCTGTGTTCGACTGCGTCGGTGGGGATCGCAACCAAACGATGGTAGGTACGAAGAGGGTGTTGTCGAGGGCTTCTTCTTGAAGCCGGAAGATGATGAGGGCATGTGTCTCCCATAAGTTGCCTTTTTTCAAAAACGCCGTTCGCTGCACAATTTACTGTCGACCCTCTTTTTGCAATTGTATCAAGTCAGTTGTGTCAGGGGCTTGGCGTTAGGCAAAAGGAGCGGGTAGATGGTACCGAAATGCGTGTGGACACTGGTTACTCTTGAGTGGCTTTGACAGCCCGCTCCTCTCCACCTCCTCCATCTTGTAGTCTATCCATCTTGTAGTCTACACTGCTGTACCTGTACCTCTAGATCTGAGAATAGGGCAAACCGGTGTTATATGCCAGCAAGCACCTATGAAAGTCTCGGTACGGCCAGTTACCAGAAAGGTAGGCACGTGGCATCGCGCGATGATGGGAGTAACCATGTCCCCGGACGAGAGTGCCTTGGTCAGTGTAGACTTGCAGGAGGTGATCACATCAGATCATGATGTTGGCCACCCATCAACAATCATTCCCCCGCCAAACGACACGCCCAAGACCCTCCGTGCAACGGGCAGACTGAACATCAAAGTGATGCTACATTACCGTTGCTGTATACCAAGCACGTTGCCTTGCTGCTGCCGAGATGATTGTCCGGGTTGCCGTCGAAAGGTGACAGCAGTAACCCAATTTTCTACACACGCAAACGATGCCATTGGTTGCCCCCATTTCGTTATTGCTGTCATTTTTCGGCTGCAGTTGTACACACCTGCTGGTGCTGCTGGTGCTTTTGGTGCTGCTGCTACCGTCGCCTTCTCCTTGCGGTAATTGGTACCCCTGCCTCTGAGTGCTGATCTGACACCGACCCAGCTATCCCTTGGCCGCCTCCCTTCTAGAACCTAGAACCAAAGGGCGGGGAGGATACTGGACCATCCCCGGGATGTCGATGACCGGATTATGGTTTAAATGTCGATTCGGAAAAACTTGCTGGCGCGACTTTTGTCGCTCGTGGCAAGGGTACACGTAGAAAAAAATTCCGGACACATAGGCCCACCCCCCCCCCNAAAGTTACCATGAGTTGCCATGAGGCAAGGTTAGATGGATGATAAACATGCCTCGCTGTCGTTACCCATCCATGTTGCTCTGACCAATCGGCCACACGAGCGACTGGCGGGCTGCCGCCTGCTCCTTGATTCTCATGGGGGTGTGCACGAGACGGCTGCGAAGACGTCCCTGCAGTGTGCGGGGTGTCCGCCATCTCTCTGCGGTCTCCGCAACTCCACAGCGCCAGCAGCGCCAGCGGTGATGCACACCACATGATAGAGCGGCACGCCAAAGCGCCAACGCCTCGGCATAAACCCCGGGGATGCATGGTATACGTCCCCGGCCCCCCCCCAAATGACCCCC